GGGTATTGAAATCCTGGAAAGGGAGAAAAGAGTTCAGATAAAGTAAGAGCAATTGCAGACTCCCAGAGAAGCGAATATCATAGTGTGTGCTAGAGTGGAGAGAGTAATGGGATTAGAGGGATAGTAGCAGTAGATTAGATTGGAAAGGCAGGATCTGATTGGGGATAGAAAAGATTGAGTCATACGGCATATTGTAGGCATGCTTGCTGACATTGCAAGGGTTTTAGTTTTTATTATAAATGAAAATGTGAAGCATTAGAAAGCTTTGAGAAGAGTTGAGTGATATGGCTTGACTTATACTGTTATGGTTTTGTGGTTCACTCAACTGGATTATCAGCTTTCTGAGAAAAAGATTTTGTCTTTCTCATCTCTGTAGACACTACAGTTTCTGACATAGACTAGATTCCAGTTGGAAAAATGGCTCCAGAGTATATCTGATAGAAGTATGTTTCAGAGCTTTGAAACAACAGTTTTGATTTTGAGGCATTTTTAAAATGTCTTACATCCAGTGTAAATAAGTTCTCAGTGGGTTTATCATAATAAATTAAAATTTGCCATTTGAAGAACCTTCTCGTTGTTCTTTCTGTGCCCTTTGTGCTGACTATGAGAATTATTACTCGTTTTTATTTCTCCGCTTAGACTGGAAAGAAAATTATAGAGTTGCTTTACCTGGCATCATAAGAATGATATTTATGTGTATCGGTCTTGAGCCTGCCTCTTCTGTAGATTCTGTAGCAGACAGAAATGAAAGAATGACCTCTTTGGGCTAGTTTAGTTGTAATATTGCTGGACAATAACGATCTTATAGTAGCTCACATTTATAAATGCTTCCAACTTGATTCAACTAATTCCCTTTGTTTTTGTTTGGACAAAGACTTAGCAAATTAGATTTTCAAGAATTAGAGAACCAAAGTCTACTTAAGTCTGAAGATATCAGGGGACTATGAACAAAGATGTAATATAGATTAGAAATTAATAAAGGGCAGTCTATTCTAAAGCTTCTCCTTTAGTCTGAAGGTAGAAGCTCAAAGTTAAAGAGATATCTCTCAGTCAGCAGACCAAGGAAGATTTACCTCTGAGTGGGCAGCATGACATTTTAATGAGATGAATTCTAGTTGAGTGGCTTTCAGTTTTTAATGAGCACATGAATCGCCCAGGGATTTTGTTAAAATGCAGATTCTGATTCAGTAGGTCTGGGGTAGGGCCCAAGTTTTGGGACCTCGAACAGATTCTGAGGTGAGGCTGATGCTGCTGGTCTATAGTCCCCATTCTGAGTGGCAAGGTACTAGCAGACACCTTATTTGGATGGAGCCATTAGTTTACTAGGCTTCAGTGTAGTCTTTAGCAAATGTAGGTTATGTGGCTATTTGACATTGAAGAACAAGGTATTAGGAAGAGCAGAGAGGAAGTTAACTAATATTCCAAGAGAGCTTTATGTGTGCCAGCAACAGCACCAATGGCTTCATATATGATCTTTTATACACTTTCTAAAAGACACTTTAATACCCTTGCTTGAATGATGGATTTGAATACTCAGAAACAAGCCTTATGCAATAACTATTCTCGAGGTGGCATGAGGGTAAATAATGTGTCATTACTCATTATTAAAAGACCTAATTATGAATTAGAATTATAACTCTTTAGCAGATGGTCGAGACAGGTCGAATGGCTTTTTCAAGGTCATATAGTCTGTTAACACTTTTGCAAAATCTAAAATATATGTACTTGATACTTTCCTCCCAGCAGTATCTGCTTCTTAGGAGTGGATTTTTAACTAAGTCCAGAGAGATCTCAGTATAAATTTTGATATCTTGGCCACATAAACTACAGGGTTCTTCAGGAGGTGGAGTGTGGGATGTGTGTGTGTGTGTGTGTGTGTGTGTGTGTGTGTGTGTGTGTAAAGAATAGAGAACATATAGATTTGTATATTGAATAGAAGTACGTCGGGTCCTACAATTTTCCAGGAATGTTCTATTGGCTGGAATGCTGATTCCACCTAAAGGAAAGAGAAACTGGATTTAGGAAGAAAAGTGAAACGAAAAATAAGATGACATAGACTGAGGAAACAATGGTAAAATCAAGGATGTGCCAGTTGTTATTGATTGGACAGAGGAAATTATAGAGACATTGGTGTTTAAAATGATTTAAATTTCTATGTTCTCTCTCTTTCTCCATTTCCCCCCTCACCCCAGAGAAGGCATAGGAGTAATTAAAATCATGGGTTTAATTAGACCACATTTAGTCTTAACTTCTTTATATATTAACTGCATGACTTTGGCTTGTGACTCATTCTCTCAGCCTGTCACAGAGTTGTAGATAATTAATCAGTGAGATAATCTAGCTAAAACATTGAATACAGTGCATTTGGGTCAATGGGAGGATGATGGTGTAATTAGCTGCAACAAGTCCTTAAAGATTTTGAAGCTGGTTTCAAAGCATGTAGAATAGTATGAGCAATATGCAGAGGTTGCCATGAACATGATTTGTTGGTATATCATCATTATGAAAGTGCATGAGTACAGAATTGAGCCACCAGGGTGCTATTTCCAATTTGAATAAATACTGAGAGACAGTTGGGTATGGAGATTACGGTTAAAGATTATAGGGAGCAAATAGTAAACAGTGTCAAAGGCAAACTATGTCTAATCTTTTGCCAAAGTTGATCTCCATGTCTATGTAATACTGACTACTAAGTGACAATAAATTAAGGTGCAGGAGCAAATTAGGACTAAAAAAATGAGGTGATAAATATAATGTAAGAATTAGGGTAACTATATCAAGACCAAGTAAGCAAAACAGAACGAGTAAAACTCCAAGACTTCAGGTAGACCAAGCCTAGGGATTCGAGAAAAGAGAATGTGGAAAATCTTGTAAAGTAAAAGAAATAGAGAAAAAAATATCATTGTTACATTTCAGTCAACTATCAATTCATGGAATTCATAGGAACTAAGGAGCATAAAGTCTGGTAGAGAAACAAATATTGTTCATTAGTAATTCTGACACTGAAGATGCCTGATATCCAACTAACCAGAAGAATTTTTTCTGGTCTCACCTTTGAGGATGATGATCCCAAAAGAGATTACCTGAGTGAAAGGTTTCAGGACAAGATAATCCAAAACACCTTCCTGCTAGCAATCCAAAACATGACCAGTGATCATGTTTCTCCGGTAGAGGGATTCTCTTACCATATCAAATACTCCTGGTCAAATTTCTTCTATCTGCTTTTGTCTTTCTGAATACTGCTGCCAAGTTTTGCTCCTAAAGCTCAATGTTGGTTTTAGAATCTGGTGTTGGCCCTGAGTATTGGAGTTTTTGTATTGATTTCCTGCCTCACAAAGGAGTAGGAGGTAAGGAGAAGGCACAGGAGTAGGATCAGAAGGAAGGAGACATGAAACAGGAAGTCAAGTGGAAAAGAGAGACAGGAAATCTCAACAATTTAGGATCACGACTCAGCTATCAGGCATCTCCCAGTAACTACTTGGGCTTTGTTCTTGTGTTGAGTTTACTGTTCTCACATGTATAGTCAACTATGTGACTTCGCGTGTAATTGGATGATACTTGCTCATTTTTTCCCCCTTGAGAGAAATCAGAGTTTCTTACGTGGGAGATATTTCTCAGCCTGGGGAAGACAGAGACTTTTCTCAATCTGTATTTCCTCGGTTGGCATATATAAAAGACAACTGGAAAATGTCAATTGAAAAAAGGTATTGTAGAGTGGCATTTATTCAAGACTCAAAATATTTCAAGCAGTTTATAGAGCAGAGAGATTGATGCAGTCCCTTAAGGCTTAACTTGTGAGCATCAGCATTGACTGAGGAGAACTAATTTACTATTTCCCGAAAGGAAATAGGGTTGAGAAGAATGATTACAGCAAAATGCTTAAACAGAAAAAGTGTCACAACTTTTTATTGAATTCTTGTTTGGGATGTTTTTGTAAACTTATCAATCATTTTGTGACATTTTACAGTGTAAAAGGTTTTAGTGTTTGTGAAACATCATTTTGAAATTGCCCCAAACTAGATTTCTCTTTCTTTCTCTTTCATCAAACTGACATTGGGTACAGGTTTATGAAACTTGAATGACTGGTCTATTAGCTAAAATTCTTTCGATGGCAAGTTACAGAAGTAAACTTGACTGGAAAGAAAAATGCAAATCTAGCGTAAAAGAAAAGGAAAGTCTTAGGAACCCTCAAGACAAGAAATCCAGCTGGGTCCCGGGAATGTTTTGGAATTCCATTCCGGAAAGCCCTCAAATGTGTCTTCTCTCTGGGCTGCCTCTCCATGCACTTTCTCCATCTTTCTTAATGTCATCAGATCTGCTTTATGGCAGACTCAGGCTTTCCTATGCCTCCCAAGTTGACATATAATTTTAATCTCCTAAAGTGACTGCAGAACAGTTTAAATTCTTATTCCACATTCTTAGGAGAGAAAATCTGTTTGCTACTTACCGCACTGCTCACCTTCTTAGGTCAGAAGGCCACCCCTGGTTTCATCACACATAATATGAACATGGTTTTGGAGGGCCTCGGTCTGTGGATTTGGGGGCATGGGTAGGGAGCAGTTTCCAGAAAAAGAAATTTGTTATGAGCTTGGTGGATGTGCTAAATTCATCTATCCTACTATGCCCAGAATGAGAATGCTGCTTGGCACTGAGTATAGTCTCAATAAATATTTATCAAATGAAATATTTATTGATTGAATGCACTGGCAAGAATATATAAGAACATGTTTGACTAGATAAATAAAGAAGTTTTTGCATTTTGAACATCATAATAGTCGATCTTTATGAGTCAATTGCTGTAATAGTTAACTGAAAACTAAAGTTATATTAGTTAAAATCATTTGATTCTAGGTTGTTTTTCTGTATTTGAAAAATCATTTTAAAATTTAAAAAATTATAGATTTTTATGAGAACATTTGAAAGACTTAATAACACACATATCAATTTATTTTAATAGTGTTTATTTTCTATTTCTTAAAAATTATGTTATGTTTATGAAGACTAAACCTGGAGTAATTCGCCCGGTACCTGTAAAATCCAAAATATTACTGAAAAAAGAGGAAGAAGTCTATGAACCCAACCCTTTCAGTAAATACCTGGACGATAACAATGACATCTTTTCTGAGCAGGTGAGTATACATGTGAGAAAATCTTTAAAATTTTGATAAATGGCTATATAAAATATAGAAATGGTTTTATGAATAGATAGTATTTGCAAGAAAATGTTCATTTAATTGGAGTACCCTTAGTAGTAAAAAAGATCAAATTTTTATATAATAAAATAAATTCTTATATACTTCTAGGATGATATTTTGAAGTATTTCTGTGTTTTTTTTTATTAAAAATTTTCTACCTACTGCTGGTATTATTCTGGGGTCTAAGACATTACTCTCTATAAAGATATCATGAAGTCACTGGTTGCATGTCTTACATAGGTATTGTATACTTACTTCTAAAATCCTGTTTCCTTTTGAAGAGATGTGATGTTTTAGAGTTGGTTTATTAGTACATTTTACAAAAGATCTATCGTTTGGATTTATATTAACATAGTAGAGATGATGTGATCCCCTAGATTGAGCAGTATTAGTTAGGGGATAGGTTCCCAAGTTATCTAAGGTTTTATTATTCATTAGGTTTATGAGTAAAAAGATATATTATCTTTCTTTTGTACATCCTATATGTTGGAGGAGGTATAATGGAATGTTGTTAATGGTGCTTTGTAAGATATTTAGGAAAATATAAAATTACACATTTATACAACTTCTTAAATTATTTCAAATAAAAAATTTATATATTAATTTTTATTAAAATATAACAGCTAGGCATGGTTATATATTTTATATCTCAAACATTACATAAATAAGCAATGTAAGTAATCCACAAATATTTTTGGATACAACTAGGACTTGTAAGATCACCACATTTAATAACCTACAATAAAATAGACTTATAAAGGAACATAGGTTATACCCTCTTTAAATTTTAGTTTGAAAGTGACAACTAATGATATTCTTGAAAATATAAATGACATTCGTATTTATAAAAATAAAGAATCTCTTATCTCCACACATTAGCTCTGTAACACTGAGCAAGTTTCTCCTATCTAGACTTCAATTTCTTAATGTATAAAATGAAGCAAAGTTGGGTGCTTTCTAAGGATCCTTCAAATTCTAAAATTTAGGTTACTTAAAATCTAAGATTAATCCTGACTGGATCTGAAGTCCTTATGTAGCCTTGAAAAAGTTAGATATAAATACTTTCTCATGATTCGCTATAGTTTTTGTTTATAAAATGAGATGAAAATATTTTCTGTTTATTCTGTTTATTTGGATATCAGTGAAGGCTGATATGATTTTGATAAGTTAAAAATTTTAGAAGGCACTAGTATCATTGAAATGCTAATTAGAAGAAATTACTTTTATTTAATGAAATAAAATAGAATTCACAATTTAAATTAGAGAAATTATAGATATATATAGTATGTGTGTACATATATATATATATATACACACACACACACACACACACACACACACACACACACATACACATGTCTTCACTAATTCTACACATAACAGAAATGGAAATTCCTGTTGAAAAGCATATTTCTATCATCAACAAAATATTTATTAAATATCTATTTTTTGTATGACATAATATGTTAGAGGCTTAATGTGATATTTTAGACAGTATGAAATCAGTATAAAATTTTTATATAAAAGTCAACTAGTCTTTTTTTTACAAAAATGCCAATAGTTAGAATAAAGTTCATGTACTATCTATGTAACATACATTCTTTAAAATTTGATCTAATGCTATAATAAAACAATTTTGTCTGTATCAGAATAATTTCAAATTTATGCATTTAACTTATAACAAGATTCTTTGTAGAATATCAAGTTAATCTACCTATAATTTATCACAATTTGCTGTCCTCTGAAATGATAAATTCCATTCTTAAGTGTAGGAAATTTTTGTCATTAAAAGGAGTTGCCATTTCTTTCCTTTCTCTGACTATGTAGCAAGTTTAAAGCTCTGTTAATGTACAACATAAATCTATTTCCAAATAGTTTGTTGAAAATTTGAGCTCTTTTACAAATAAGGTGTTGCAGGACTAATTTTATTTATATTTTCTTTCAACCAATTTATTCTTGCGTGCATCCCAATTTCCGCTGGAATGTGGGAAGTAATAGGAGTCTGTAGATTGTTGGAAATGAAATAAGTCTAGCCTACTACTTAAAAGAGAAAGGCAAATACCGTATAATTTCACTTATATGTGGAATCTAAAGAACAATATAAATGAACAAGCAAAACAGAAACTGACTCATAGATACAGATAACAAACTGATAGTTGCCAGATGGGACAGGGGTAGCGGATGAGGTGAAAAAAGGTAAAGGAATTAAGAAGTACAAATTGGTAATTACAAAATAGTCATGGGGATGTAAAGTACAGCAGAGGGAATATAGTCAATAATATTGTAATAACCATGTCTGGTGCCAGGTGGGTACTAGACTTATTGATGGGATCGCTTCATAAATTATATAAATGTTTAACCAGTGTGCTGTACACCTGAAATTAATATAAACTAATATTGGATGTTAATAGTAATTGAAAAAAATAAATTAAAAAAGTGAATTCCAAACTTTTCTTGGTCTTAGTCATTGACCTTGCATGAGAGAGAAAACATAATAGAACCACGGGGTCACTGCACACAGGGAAACTGTGTAGACTATCAACTAGCCTCTTTATATTGAATTCCAACTACCATCTCACCAGGTCCAGAATCTACAATGGAGGCAGATACCAAAGACAGCTCACAAGTGTAGATGCTTAGATCTGCTTAAAAAATAAATCGAGTAACAACAATTTATAATCTCACGTTGCTACTTCATCAGAACTTCAATAGAAGAGAGAGTACTCAAATTTAGTTTCAGTCACTATTGTGTTCTCTTCTACTGCTGCCACAGAATAAATTGAATGGTTCCAAACTCAGTTGCTGTCACCCACCCATGTAATGGAAAATTCTGCAGCCAGAATGTTGGGCCAAATTGAAGCAGCTCACATTCACTAATCTGCCTTGTACTGGGGACAGTTCCACATGACAGGAGATGTTGGATGAGATTGTTAAGTCAATAAATTTCCCCTAGCAGCTTAACTGCCGTAAATATGATTTCTAAACTCTCTGTTACAAAACGTCAGACAGTAAAGAGGATGAGACTAGATGAAAATGTATTTACTGTAGCTGAAGAAAGTACAACTGGGCAGCCTTTTGAACTGATAATGAACTGAAAATTTGCCTGGAGACGGCCTCTGAGAGCTAAAAGCAAAGTTTGAAACTACATGCATAATTAAGTAATTGAGACTTATTAATTAACAACTTTTACATCAAAATGGCATAGGTCAGGAAGCATCATTCTGTATTGATAGATTTAAAAAAAATTCTTCAGAGTAAAATTTATGCTTCCTGAAATTACCTTTAAATTCATTATTGTATCAATCTGGGCTTCTTTGGAGTTATTATAAATTATCCTCATTCTCCACATATGGATTTAAAACTATGATGATGTCCTTTGAAGCATAGTTCTATTGATAATAAAATCAATTCACTGATGAGAGTTAAGAAACTAAAGGCCGAATGATTTTTAGTTTTTCTGACTACTTGTGAGTTCGCAAAATGTACTGATTGCTTTTTGGTCACTTAAAGTATCTAATTAGGTGACTTGAAGATATTTAATTAAATAAATCTTTATTGATTCTTTCAATAAAGATTTTTAATTTAATATAAAAAGCAGTTGCTAAATTCAGTTATATAAGATATTCTCTCTCATATTTTTATAAATTAGTAATTTAACTCATGGTATTAGATATGTCATTTCCATATTAAAGCCCTAGAAAAATGTACAAAAAAGGTTTGGATAGAATTAAACAGAGAATATTGTTGTTTCATGTGATCTTCCCAGAAATGTTTTCTTTTCTTATTTTTTTTTTACATGAGACTGATTCCCAGTGCATATGCCTCTCAAATTTTATTTTCCTTTGAATTTGTTTCAATAGGGAAAATAACATGCTTACGTGTGAAAATGACCATTTAGCAAATTTCCTCCATATCATTTCACAGAAAACATAGAAGGATAATTATAGGAAATTTTCTTTGTTGTAGTATTTTCATTCTTTCTTTTCTTCTGATTTTTCTTAGATACCTGATTTGCTTTCCTTGTTTACCAAACTCTCTGCTTGACATTCAATTTTGATGATTATGTGGGTGACTTTTAGATTTCTATGTAATGAGTCATCAAATTATATTTCCACTGTGACCTTCACTTTTACTTCTTTATGTCGACGAGGTGTTAATATTACAGGGCAAATAACTTTCTCATAAGGTGAAACTGACAATATTGCCTTTTATTTTGAATGACTTCTGGTTTCATCACAAATTGCTACCTTTTCAACATTTATTTCTCAGTCAAAATGGTTTATTGTCTTTTGTCATAAAATTATCTCATCATTGCTAACCTTTTATTAAGAAATATTTTTCAGATTAAAATGTTTAATTTTTTAGATCTAGAAGTGATTAAGCAGTTTGCTAAATTGTTTTAAAGGGGAGAGAGAATTGGAATTCCTTGTAGTGTAACATTTCTTCTGAAAGAGTTAAGAGATTTGGCTTTTTAAGTTTTGCCATGTTTTCATTTATTCAAGTAATAAAATCCTCGTGAATTTTTTCTTCCTCCTTTTTGTCTTCCTTCCTTCCTTCCTTTTTTCCTTCCTTCCTTCCTTCCCTCCTCTATATGTAATAGGTAATAAACAATTTATAATAAATAACTTATATACTATACGTAATAGATATTTTGTCATTAATAAAATAAACTATTTTCTTAGTTTTATATATTTTTTAAAAAGTCTCCTACAGAGACAATATTTGCATTCTCTATGATATAATCAGAATGGATCACCTCTTCAAATTTAGGATTTTATCTCTCTCTTTTTAGGCTTTAGCTTTCTCTTGACCTTGTGTTTGAATCAAGGTCAGAAGATTAGAACAAAAGGACCGTAATTTCCTGTTGCAATGTCTACATTGCTAAGGGAGGTTTCTTTTCTGTACCCTTTCTCTCACCTCATATAGGGTTAAGA